CGCGGCTTCCAGAGGTGCGTGTTTCAGCTTCTGAGCTGAGATTTTATCTGTTCCAGTCATAGCATCGGGATTGCATTTCCAGGTGGTTTCTCTCAGCTTAGTTCGTTCCTGGGTCAGCAGTGTACAATCTCCCCTTGCTTAGGACTCCTCACAGTGAATCATTCCTAAATTCTAAGCTGGCTAACTCAGAGAGCCTCCATAGCTGCTGTTAGCTATCTGCCATGTTCTCCCAGAAGTCAAAAACCATATATTCTTTACTCACTCATCTGCTAATGGGCATCAGGTCTGTTTCCCAGATTTAGCTGGTCCACACTGTGGTGCTATATACATGGGTGTGCGTATATTGATATGGCATGATGTTAGAAGGTGAATAATTGGGTCAAATGCAATGTATAGTTTCAGTTTTTCAAGGACTCTCCACACTGGTTGTACCAGTCTACCCTCCCACCCACAATGGCAAAGGGTCCTTTTTCCTTACAGCTTTCTTGCCAGCATTTGTTATTGGCTGATTTCTTTAATGTAGTCATTTTTTCTTGGGTGAGATGGAATCTCAGTGTCATTTTAATTTGCATCTCATGAATGACCAGTGAAGTTGAACTTTTTTTCATGTGTTTATTTGCTGTTTGTGCTTCTTCACCTGAGAAGTGTCTCTTCATTTTCCATGCTCATCTTTTTGACTGGGACTTTAATTTTGGGGGAGTTGAGTGCTTTGAGTGTTTTATATATTCTAATTATTAGTTCTTTGTCTGAAGAGCAACTAGCAAAATTTTTTCCCTTTCTGTGGGTTATCTTTTCACTCTGTTGGTAGTTTCTTTTGATGTTCAAAGACTTTTTATGGTGAGATGGTGAGATCTCAGTTTTTAATTCCTTGTAATATTTCCTGTGATTTGGACTTTGTTCATAAAGTCTTTTCCTATACCTATTTCTTCAAGTGTTTTATCTCTTTTATTTTCCAGGAGATTAAATGTTTCTGTTTTAATATTTATCTGTTTGATCCATTTCAATTTTAGTTTAGTGTAGGGTGACAGATGTGGATCTACATTAATCTTTGTCATGTGGAAATCCAATTTTCCCAGCACAGTTTATTTAAGAGGCTATCTTTCTTCCAGTGAAGATGTTTAGTACATTTGTCCAAAACAAGATTGCTATAAAAAAAAAAAAAAAAAAACACAAAAACCCAAACCAGACTCAAGGATCCTTGCTGTTTTTACCACTGTAGCTTTGTAGTATAATCTCAAGATGGGGGTGATGATGCCTCTGCCTTGCCTTTGTTACCCACAATTGCTTTTGCTATTGGAGATTTCATCTAGTTTTAAATGAATTTTAGGATTATTTTCTCTAGTTCTATGAGGTATGCTATTGGTATTTTGGTTGGGATTGGATTAAGTCTATTGTGGCTATCCAAGAAAATGATATCTATTTCTATTTCTTTTTTTTGGTACCAGGAATTGTATTCAGGACCGGTGCTTGCCAGGCAGGTGCTTGTGCCACTGAGCTATATCCCTGGCCCCTCTATTTCTTTATATCTTACTTAGTTTCCTGTTTTGAGAGTATTGTAATTTTGAATCTATAGGTCTTTCATTTCCTTTATTAGATTGATGCCTATGTATTTCATTTGTCTTGCTACTATTGTGAAAGGTATTGTTTCCCTAATTTTTCTCTCAGTGAATTTGCTATTTGTGTGTGGGGACGCTATTGATTTTGGAGTGTTGACATTGTATCCTGCTTATTAAATCTAGAAGTATCTTGGTGAAGTTTTTGAGATCTTTCTATATAGAGTATCATGTCATAAGCAAATAATAATAATTTAACTTCTTCCTCTTATTCCTTTTATTTTTTATTTTTTTTTGTTGTCTAATTGGTCCGGATAAAGTTTCCAGGACTATGTTGAGTAGTAATGATGATACTGGTCATCTTTGTCTTGTTGCTGATTTTCGAGTGTAAGCTTTCAGTTTTTGTCCTTTTAGTATGATTTTGGCTATTGGTTTGTCATAGATGGCTGTTATCAGATTGAGGTAAAACCCTTCCATTCTCATTTTCTGTAAGATTTTTAGCATGAATGAGCATTGAACTTTTGTCAAATGGTTTTTCCGCACCCATTGAGATGATCATATGGTTTTTGTCCATAGTTCTGTTAATGTGATGTATTAAACTTATTGTGTATATTGAACCATCTTTGCATCCATGGGATGAATCCTATTTGGTCATTGTATATAATCGTCTTGATAATTTGCTACATTCTGTTTGCCAGTATCTGACTAAAGATTTTTGCATCTATGTTCATTATTGGCCTGTAGTTCTCTTTTTTTAGTTGGCTCCTTCTCTTGTTTTTGTATCAGGTAATGCTTGCTTCCAGGAATGAGTTTGGGAGTGTTGCTTCTCTTTCAATTTCATTTTTTTAGTTTGAGGAGTAGTGGCATTAGATCTTCTTTAAACTTCTTGCAAAATTCAGGAGTGAATCTATCAGTTACTAGGTTTTTCTTTGTTGGTAATTTTAAAATTACTTCTTCAGTTTCATTAACTGATACTGGGTTATTTAGAAATTTTATACCTTCTTGATTCAGCTTTGATAACTCATGAATCTAGGAATCTGCCATTTCTTCTGTGTTTTCCACCTTATCAGAGTACAGCTTCTCAAATTAGGTATTAATGATCTTGTGGATTTCTGCAGGATATTGGACTGAAAATTTAATGAAGGGTTTGTTTTTCATGGTTTCATGAATTTTATCCTAACTTTGTCGTAACTGATTTGCTAGCATTCTTGCAAATTTGCTTAAAATTCAAATTGTATTGGCAGTGAGATCCACCCAGTCACTCACCAACAATGAAGATTTTAGACCCATTTTCTAACCTGTTTTTATCTGACCAGTCTCCAAAGATAGTAAACATCTATGTTGGCTCCTTTAAGAGAAGAAGACGAGGTCTTCTATTGAGTGGTTACTCCACAATGATTCCTTATCCTAAGGCTCATTAAATCAATTGGTTTTGTAATGCCAAACAGAAACATTGAAATGACAGCCAGATTAGAGGCAGATTTAGTTTACATTGGCAAGCACCAATTGGATTGGGATTATGCCTAAAATGTTAGGCTCTGATCTCTGGTCTAGGGGTTATATGGAATAAGCAAGCAGGAAGTACAAGATCAGAACAGCTTTTCAATTGAGATTGTTTTATACAATGTGCATCATAGTGACAAGCTATGCATCACAGTGATCAGCTGTTTCTAAGAGACCAGAACAACCAGAACTTGAATGTGAACTGTCACCTGTCAACTAAGAAAATGACTATATTGGCTGGGAGTGGTTGGTGGTGGCTGTTTTCTGTTACAGAATGGGATAAACAGTTTTGGAACTGAGCAATACGTGGGGTGGAGTGTAGTTACCTAACAGGTCCTAAAACTCAGAGATGGTCCAGTAAAGGATGCTGTACCATGAATACCTTAGGGATGTCTGGAATCAATGCAGAAAGTGAAAAAACTCAGAAGTTTACAAGAGTTGAAAACTCAGGAACAAGCACACACCAGCACTGTGGAATATGAGGATCAAGTCACTGGTTCCAGGCTAATCTTAGGTAGTCTGGACCTGAAAGGTGAAGCCAACAACCAGAAGGTTCTGGAAAAGACACAAACGCAAAGATAGAGAAGTACTACTCACCTGGGTTACCAAATGTGAAATTTCCAAATTGGTAGCCCTGATCTGGACTCTTTTCCAAATTGCAGGCCTTCGGTCCAGTCTTCCTGTTGGAAAGCCAGAGCAACTATGTCTGAAGTCACATGCGTCCTCTTCCTCCCCAAATCAGTATATCTTCCTAATTTTTCCTGCCATATACAACCAGTTTGTCCCTTACTGTCTAGAAACATCAGGCATCTCCCTTTAATCTTCCCATCTGTTAGACACTCAGACTTACTCATTTGTGTAAAAATCTTTCTCACCAATCTTTTCCCCACCACAGGCCCCCAAGATTATGTTACAAATCCATCACGAGTGTTCTGATGACCTTCTCCTTGATCTGAGCAGCCCACTGCCCGTTCCTAAATATCCTATGGTTCTTCCCACAGAAGCCATCCACAACTCATCAACAACTTTGAGATAAAGGCCAGAACACATTCTGGCTCAAACCTACTTGTCCTAGATCTAGGGAACCTTTTACCCGGCTTGTTTCCCCAATTCTACAAAGGTACAGATCTTTTACGATCTGTATCTTTTCCTCTTCACAGAAGCCTTTCCACACCAGCCTTCTGTAAATTTCTTGGGCTCCTGAAATGCTCCTGGATGCTCTTTATCAGTTCACCACACTTCTTTCAGGATGAAGCTGCTGATCACAGTGTTATAAAACTGTGCTGCTGGAGGGACTTACTGTTTAGTTCACACAGGCCAGCGCTTTCATTTTACTGTGAAAACACTTGTCCGTGGTCTTGTGTGGTAAAGAGTGGCACTCAGAGATCAATCACATATCACTCATCACAGCCTAGTACCCACTCTTTTTGTTCATAGTTATTTCCTTTAATGCTGTGTTATTCTTTAATCCTTAAACTGTCTTGTGTTTGGCATGTGTGTGTGTGATTGGATACTTTTGTTTTCCTCCAGAGAGCCAAGCAGTCATCTCCAATTCAGCAAACCTTTCCTGAGTTTCAGCTGTGTGCCATGGGCCAGCAATGCAAGGATGAGTCGGCGCTACCTCGCTTTTGAGAAGCTTAGTTTAATCATTTTAATGTAGAGCTATGATAGGGGTATGTGTCAAGTGCTAAGAAGGATAAGGTAGGTTCGTCAGACACACAAGGCAGGAAAGGATGTGATAAACCAGAGCTGGAAACAGTGGACAGTGGGATATCACATTAGATTTCTAACTAAATGAAGGAAAAACCCACCTAAGGCTTGATTTTTAGTTGAGTTGGCCAAGATGTCTGGAAAGAAACGGGCATGCCTAGTGATTATTTACTTTGCTAAGACTATCATAGATAAAGAACATCTCGTATCTCTTTTTTGTCCGCCTAACATTAGGTGTGTCAGAAGAGGTGGAAGATATCCCAAGAGAATGTGAAAATGTTCCCAGTTTGGTGGCATTTGAAAACATCCACACGAATGTGACTGACATGATGTTAACCTTGTTAGTGGAGAACGTAACTGGCCTGACCAGTGATGACTTTGAAGTGGAAATAATACGAGATGTTGCTGTTGCTGTGGTTGCCTTTAAAAAGCACACAGGTAAGCGCGAGTGACATTTCCTCTTGCACCGCACCTTGGGTTTGGGATACTCAGCAGCAGAACATCCAGGAACGTCCAGCTTTTTGTGGTGGCAGTAAAAGAGCTAATATAGGGGCTGGGGATTTAGCTCAGCAGCATAAGCGCCTGCCTTGCAAGCAGGCAGTCGTGAGTTCGATCCTCAGTACCGATAAAAAAAAAGGAAAAAGACAAAAAAAAAAAAAAGTTAATATAGATGCTTTTCTTTTTCTTTTTGGAAGAAACGCAACTAAGTTTTGAAAATAAATTCTGATTTTTAATGGATTGAACTTTAGTGTGTGAGTGTGTGTGTGTGTGTGTGTGTGTGTGTGTGTGTGTGTCAGAGAGAGAGAGAGACAGAGACAGAGACAGAGAGGCAGAAAGACAGACAGAATAAGTCTTTATTTGGACTAGACATTTTCATGTATTATCTCACTGGGAGAAGTAACCATTGAAGTTTCCGAACTGGATTTACTGGAGAATAATGATAACAAAAAACACATAGTGGTTATAGTAAATCAGGTACTAAGCTCAGCCTTTTACCTGTATTGAATTATTTCTTCCCTTCAACAACCTTGTGAGATTATGAGGTTACTCTTATTACCCGCAGTATACATGGGAGGTTGAGAGAGGCACAGAGGTTCCAGTTAGTGAAAATCTGGGTCTGAATCCAAGCAGCCTACGTTCTGTTCTTTTTCCAGTTGACCATTTTTCTCTTTAGTACTTTGAGGGTCATTCACATACACAGGAATGAGAAAGTGCATGTAATGCAGTGAATAAGCATTCTTAAGGGTCATTGTCAGGAGAGGAATTATCCTCACCTAAAACCAGGAAGTTTTCCAGTTCTGAGGCCTCAGTCCAGGGTCATGGCTATGTAATGGTCAGTCAAGAACGGAGATCCTGGAGTCAAAATTCCAGCTCTGCCACTGACCTAGTTATACAAGGCTGACTAAGGTACTCTCCTCTCTGCACCTCGTGTCCTTCACCTACAATATGGGGGTAGCCTGGGGAGGGAGCTCAATGGCAGAGCAGTTGCCCAGCAGGTAAGAGGCCCCGGGTTTTATCCCCAGCATCACAATGAAATAGTAGGTAATGTTTAAAAGGCACTTAGCATAGTGCCTGAGACATGGTAAGGATTTAATAGTTATTCTTATTTCAAGTATATTTTGCTATTATTGTTATTATTGATATTGTTGTCTTATTGTTATTTTAGTTTTTGAGTCAGGGTCTTGTTATGTAGTCCAGGATGGCCTCGAACTCACATGTAGCCCAGGCTGGGATACTTATGACTAGTTGCCTCACACCTGTGACTCCTGCCTCAGCCTCCTGAGTGCTAGAATTACAGGTGTGCAACATCACATTTGACAACTTTATTATTATTCTTATAAGGGGAATCTAAATGGCTTTGCTCTTGTTCACTGGTCAAATACCTTGAACACCTAATATTTTAACCAGCTTTCAATTACTGTCACAAATACCTGAGACAGTCAACATATCAGAAGAAAAGGATTATTTTAGCTCACAGTTTTGGGGGATAAGTCCATGGTCAGTTGGCCCTGTTGCTTTAAGGCTTGTGGCTGAGCAGCACACTTTGGTGGCAGCACATGACAAAACTGTCCACCTCGTGGCCAAAAGAGAGAGAAGAGGAGGTTAGAATCCCACTGTCCCCTTTCGCCCCACACCGTGACTGGAAAACTTCTTCTTAGGCTCCCCTTCTTTAAGGTTCTGCCACCTCTCAATCACGCCAAACTGGGGGCCAAGCCGTTAGCACATGGGCTTTGGGGGACATGCAGATCCCAACTGTAGAACCCACTGCTGTGTGCTCCAAGCACTGATCTAGGCGCCGGGGTGTGAGCATGCCTAAGTTGCCGCTCCTGCTCTGGAGAACCTCAAGCCTCTGTATAAAGGAATAATGAAGGTGAAAGGGGAAAAGCTGGCTCCCTCAGCTGTGAGCCACAAGCTACGGGAAAGGGGAGGAAAGGGGACCGAATCGAGTGGCCTCAGCTCGCTCCTGTAAAGGCTGTCTCCTCAGGGCCCTGCCCTTTGTGTCTGCCAGCCCTATTCATCCACGGACAAAAAAACACCTCAAGTAATTTCCTAATGTTCTTTGTTTTGTAGACACTACGAAATTTGTTTCTGACTGTGCCACTCACAATTTGAGTGAACGACTTCAGTTGTCTCCAAGACTTCTAGAAGAAACAAAAACAGTCCGGGTTGAAAACCTGCCCCCTGGTGTTGACGACTACCAGCTACAACTTTTCTTTGAAAATCCTTTGCATGGAGGAGGAAGAGTGGCCCACATTGAGTGTTTTCCTGAAGAGAGTTCAGCTCTGGTTGAATTTTGTGACAGAAAAGGTAACATCTCTTAGCCTAGTGTACCAGGCCTAATCTAGACCATGTGATGCAGATCCTGGCCGTTGGTTAGATTGTGATGCACTTTCCTTGCTTATTCATGACTGGAAATGGAGTTAATTACTTGTCCTTCTGGAATATGATGCTTAATGAGGCTAGTGATTCACACTTTGGAGAAGTTCTCAAGGTTTAGAAACATTAAGGAGATTCTCTCACGAGTCTACCTACAGTGGGCTGAAAAATAGCATTCTTGAACCCTTTCAAATACTGTATTTAGAAAGAGGTGATCTGTATCTTAGCCATTCACATGCATTTCAAGTTAATTTCAGCAAGTTTCGGTAAAGACATACTCAGAAACACACGAGGCTCCTATGAAGTGCTCCTCCACTCCCCTTATCTGCGGGGTCCTCATTCAGGGCGTGTTCTTTACAGCCGTGACAGGCATTTCAGCTGACATCTTCGATAGTTCAACAAAAGTTGGAATTCTGGTTTTGGTGCTTACTGGGTTTGTGGTCTTGGGTAAGTTACTTTAACCCACCAAACCCTCTGATTTGTCATCATATATTAGTTATGACATTTCTAGTTACCTTGCAAGAATATTGTGAGGTAACAGACGCAAAGGGCTTGGTATCGGTGCTGAAAATGTACTAGTGGTCACTGGTATTGCCCAGCCACAGAGCCTCTAAGGACTGTAGGGAGAAATTGGGTTTAAATTTTTGGTCACATGCTTTGCATCATGCCTGACACTAGCCTGAGGAATCACACACAATGCAGTTATGTTTAACAACTTTTTCACCACGGACACTATTTTAATCCAGCTTGTTAGTGTTCCTCATTCTGATTCCCTTCCCGATGCTGTCCCGTGTACCTGCCTAACAGTACAAAATGAAGAGGGCCTCCGAGGAGGAGAGGAGCACACCGACCCACACATAGACGTGCGAGGGGCCGTCTCAGTACATGCTGCAGAAGGGGATTGTAGAGGGACAGAGGGAGGTGTAGCCTATGGGCTGGGCCCCGGAGGACTGTGAGGATGGTTTTCATTTGGTAGACTGGAAGAATGTGAACTTTGGAGCTCACAGATGATAAATCTGAGCTCAGATATGGAACCAAATTTAAGCTGTCCAGCCTCTGTTGTATCATTTTATCAAAAAGGATCATACTCATAGCTCCCTACTGCAAAGGGTTGTTGAGAGTATTAAGTGAGTTGAATCTGTGTGAAGCACTTACAGTGGTGTCTGGTACATGGGAAGCTATTGCAGTTATCCTCCTTGTGAAGATGCTAATGGAATGTAAGTTGACTATTGAAGCTAAAATTGTGGGAATGGAGAAGAAAAAAACAGGTTGCTGCTCAAACAAGCTTCACTTTGAACACCAAAATACTGTTTACACAGTAGCGAACATCATTTCCATGACTTTGACCAAACTCGTATTTCTTAGTGTGGTAGCAGTATATCCATGGCATCAGAAAAACAGAAAACAGGCTTTAATAGAATTTTAACTTGACTTCGCTCTAAAGTAATTATTGCACTAACCAAAGGCTATCTGTGACTACATTTGAGCACTTTGGAAGTAGAGCTGCCTTTTAAAAATATGTCATTGAAGTTCTACAAACATTAAGATTTATTTTCCTGTAGAATGAGATAGTCTTGTTTTCCTTTAAAGCATATATTATTACAGTCACCTTATTTTCACTTTTTAAAATTTCTTTTGCTTTTGAAGTGTTAGACACCATCCTGACCAAGAAACACAACTTCAATAAGATGCCGCTCTCTGTCTTCCCCTACTATCACTCTTTGGGGACAGCCTTGTACGGAAAGGAACAGCCTCTCATCAAGCTGCCAGCACCATTTCAAGAGTCGTTGGTGCTGCCTTTGTGGAACTTCTTGCAGAAAAAGACCCATCTGAGAAAAGAGCTGGATGATGAAATGGCACAGCATCACTGTTTGCTAACATGGTCCCAAGTGGACAATAAAGTTACCATCAGACCTGCAGCCACCTTAGTCAATCAAGGAAGACCCAAAATCAAGACATGGCAGACAGATGCTTCGTCAGCACTCTCTGGCATCAGGTCTAAATATACAGTCACTTCACTTAACGTGACTGCAAGAGTGTGGAACGTCATAAAAAACGACTTAGAAGATGATAGGATTTTGATCGAGTTTGATACCTCTAAGGAGATTGTAACCTTAACAGGAAAATCAGACGATATCCAAAATGTTAGTCCACAATTCAAGGAATTAATAGAAAAGACTACTCAAAAAATTCAAAAGGAAGAGCAAAGTCTGAAGGAAAAAGTGGCCATTTCTTCAGCACAGTATTTTCTTTTGCACCACAGTGGTGTTCTGGAGTGTATGTGCACAGAATGCCCAGACATGGAGGTTCGTTATGATGCGAATGCTCAGAACCTGTGCCTTAAAGGACCCCACATCGATGTGTACAAAGCGAAGTGTGAAATTCAGGAAAAAGTGTACACTATGGCTCAGAAAAGCATTGAGGTCTCTCCTGAGGTCTTCCAGTTTTTACTGCAAGTAAACTCAAAAAAATTCTCTGAGTCCTTTTTTATAGCACAAAAGAATCTTACAGTTTATGAACTCAAGGGTACCACTGTCCTCCTAACCAGCTGTTCTTCTGAAGTCCTGGCAGAAGCTGAAAAACAAATGCTCAGTGCCTTAGATTGTAAACACATTGACGTTGAGGGCAAGGAAATTCTTACTACTGGCAAATGGGAACAGTTTATTGCCAATGTCCAAAAAAAGTTTTATGCTTCCACAGACATTATCGTAATCAATAAATCCACTGCAGGCAGCCCAGGTGAAGTCATTGTGGCAGGTCTTGCAAAAGAAGTAAGTGAAGTTGTCCGCTTGGTTCTTGAATTCTTGAAAAAACACATGAAAATAGAGAGGTTGGTTGAAGTAGAGACATCCTTGATTGTAGACTACTTAAAAAAAGACAAGAAGCTCCTCGGGTCAAAAATAAATAAGGGAGATATGCAGATACTTTTCAATCCAGAGAACAAACCCAAAGGCATTTTACTAGTTGGCCCCAAGGACCAAGTGCTAGGTGCTGTGGACACAGTCAGGGAAATTGTGAAGTCTGTCTTTGTGAGAAGAGTCTTTATTGACAAGCCAGGAGCCAGGCAGTTCTTCCAAGACAAAGCACAGTTTTGCAGAGGTGAGATTAGGAAGAAGTACGGTTGTTTCATTGAACTGGAGAATAAGGAACAGGTAAGAGGCACAGCTGATCGGTCAAAGTACCTCATCCAGAGGCAGGTGGCTCCTGGTGTCACTCTGACTGCCCAGCAGGGTGACTTGACTCAGTTTCCCGTCGATGTGGTGGTGAATGCAGCAAATGAAGACCTCAAGCATCTGGGCGGTCTTGCTGGTGCCCTCTCAAAAGCAGCTGGCCGGGAACTGCAGGAGGACTGTGAGAAGGCCGTGAAGAGGGCCAGCCGCCTCCTGCCAAGCGATGCCATCCTCTCAAGGGCAGGCAAGCTGCCCTGCCGCCATGTGATCCACGCGGTGGGGCCCAAGTGGTCTGAATCTGAGGCCCCGAGGTGTGTGTACCTGTTAAAGAAAGCTGTGGAAAACAGTCTTCTTTTAGCGGAAAAACACAAGTGCCAATCCATAGCCATTCCCGCCATCAGTTCTGGAGTCTTTGGCTTCCCTTTACAGCGGTGTGTGGAGACCATTGTTCTGTCCATCAAGGAAAGCTTGGAATTTAGGCAGGTTGGGAGCACCTTGAGAGAGATTTATCTTGTGGACTCATCGGAGAAGACAGCAGAGGCTTTTGCTAAAGCTGTGGAAACTATATTTAAAGACTCTCTGTCAGACAGCGTGTCCAAGCCGGATACAACTTCCCTGCCTAGAGGACCAGCAGCGAAACCTGTCACATCACAGGAAGTGGCCTGTCTGACAGCCCCAGGAGGCTTGAAGATCCTGCTGGTGAAAAAGGGCGTGCAAGATGCTACGGTGAGCATCCTTCTCTTCGACCCCCCAGGCACTGTGATACATTTCCCCAGTAGCTCATGACGTTGAACATCTTTTCATGTGCTTTTGGATGTGTGTATGTGTTCTTTGAAGAAACATCCATTTAGATTGTCTGCTTTCAAATTGAGGGATTTCTTTGTTACTGAGTTCATTATACATTTTGGGTATTTTTTAAAAAAGAGATATCTGAGTTGCAAATATTTTGTCATATTTTACTGGGCAAGTTTTCTCCTATTTTGTACAAGAGGTTACTTCTTTTTTGCAGTTTTTTTTCTTTTTTTTTTTTTATTGATACTGGGGATCGAACTCATGACTGCCTGCTTGCAAGGCAGGTGCTTATGCTGCTGAGCTAAATCCCCAGGCCCCAAGAGGTTACTTCTTAAAAAGTACTTTTTCTTAGTTTAGTGAACTAGAAGAGCAATTCAATTTGGAATTACAAGAAGCTTAAGTAATAATTACAAGAGTCACAGCTAACGTGGATTATTATTTGTGCCAGGCATGGTGCTGGGTGCTCGGCATGCTTTGGTGCCGTGAAGTAGACTGTGGGGTGATCATCCTCACACACCGATGAGGGCAGGAGAGTTAGAGGCTTTAGCTAATTTGCCCAAGTCCCATAGCCAACCGTTGGGAGGACTGGAATGTATTCTGGTTCTTGGCCACTGTCCTAATTTAAACCATCTAAATAATTTGTTTTTCATGTTCAAAAATAAAATCAAATGTTGTTTTAAACAAGGGTCAGGAATGGGAATGGGTTCTATTCTCTTTTTTTTTGATACTGGGAATCGAACTCACAGCATTGCACTTGCTAGGCAGACACTTATGCCGCTGAGCTAAATTCTCGGCTCTGAATGGGTTCTATTCCTAATCCCCTGACACTGTGTGTTAATGGGAATTACTCACACTGGTGTTAGTAATGGACTGCAGTGCTTCCTCCTTGGCCTTGGTGGCTTGTGAGGTGTGTCACATTCTCCTCTCCTGTATTCTCTAACACAGCCTGATTCACCTGCTCGTGTGCTCTCTGATGCCAAAGCTTCTACAGCTGCTCACTCACTGTATGCATGGCATCCAGGGGCTTGGCACCTGACATGCCACCCAGGGTAACATGTCTAGCCCGGTTGGCACCGTTTTACTGCAGACAGTCTTGATCTGGTCAAACTAATATGCTCACGGCTCCGGGCTACTGTGTGTTCACACTTTTGCCTGGTGCTGTCTGCGTGCTGGAACCACTCCCATCTCTCAGGCCCCACAATGCATGTGGCATCTTCATCAGCTACCGTGCGACTTTCCTCTGGACTCCTTAGCGATTCCCATACCATTTAGAACTTATTTTTGGAAGTTCTCTTTTGCTCTTGAATGTTTTTCAAGTATTTAATAACACTTTGTCCTGGGTTAGTATTTTTGCTCTCCAAAACCTTATTCATTTTGATTGTCGCTGATTACATCAAGCCCAGCAGCTCGTGTGTAGTGGTTTACATCAAGCGCAGCAGCTTGCGTGTAGTGGTCATTGATGAATGAATTCCTGGTGTGAAACAAATCTTTGGTTTTGTCTTTAAGACCCATGTTGTGGTCAATTCCATTCCTTCGGATCTTGCGCTGAACAGAGGGCCCCTTTGTCAGGCCATTTTGGAAAAAGCTGGACCAGAGATCCAGCAGGAGTTGAACACAGCTCTACAAGGGGTAGCTGTCGACGTGGGCACAGTTCTCCAAACCCGTGGCTACAATCTACAGTGTGACCATGTGCTTCACGTGGTGGCTCCAGCACGGGGAACCGGAGATGCACAAAAGGTAGGGCTAGCTTTAAATTCTCCGGAGGATGGAGGAGCTCTTTGGAGTCTTCTTTCTGTGTACTACAGTTTGGACCTGTTTCTTTGGCGCATTCTACCATCGTGGCCCTTTTTTTGAGCTGTCCCTGGCTCTGGGGGACTAGCTAATAATATGGATGCATTGTCGCACTCTCGGTGCCTGGGGGTCGGGAAGGGTGGCTACTGCAGTGAGGAAAGTGACTCGGGGGCGGAGATTAGAAGACAATGAAAGAAGAGAATGGTTGTCACTCGTGTCCTGCGTGATAGAGGGGTGGAGTGAGTTCGAGTCCTTTTTGGAGGCGCTCTTCATATTCTCTTCTTCTCTCCTGTATGTTTCTTTCTTCTGCTGCTCACCTTTAAACCCTACAGAAAGTGAAGTGGTGTGGACAGAGATCACAGCAAAAGTTGCTAAGTTCTTGTTCTTTTGGTTCTGGCTCATTTCTAGGCAGTAGGTATAAGGGTGTGCTTTGTGCTTTTCAGGTCATGAAAGAAATAATCAGAAACTGTTTGGAGATTACGGAGAAACTGTCTTCACGATCAATTGCATTTCCAGCAATTGGAACAGGAAATTTGGGATTTCCTAAGACTGAGTTTGCCGAATTACTGCTTTCAGAAGTACTCACATTTAGTGGCAAAAAGCAGCTAAGAACTTTACAAGAGGTTCAGTTTCTGCTGCACCCAAGTGATCATGAAAGTATTCAGGTAAGCTCTGTGCTCATATCTGACTGTTCTGGCAACCTTAGTTTGGAACCTGATTTTATCAAATGTTTCTTTGTAGAAAAAAATTAACTTTTTATTCCAGCCAATTTCAAACACACACAACAGTAGATACAATTTAGCAATTTATTTTAAGCAACAGGATCGTTTTTTAATGAGTAACATAAACACAATACTGTATCATACCTAAAATAAATTGACTATAATTCCTTTGATAATAGTCAATGTTCGAATTTCCAATTATCTCATAAATGTGTTAGTTTGTCTTCACAGATATGTGTTTGAGTCAGTCTCCAAATTAGACCTACATGCCTTAATAAAATTGACATAGTTCTTCCTTGTCCTCTCCTCCTCCTCCTTCTCTTCTCATTTTTCTTCTTTTAGTTTTCTTAGTCTTTTTTTTTTTTAGCTTTTGAGACAGTGTCTTGCTGTGTAGGCCTTCAACTCACTGTGCACTGCGTAGCTCAGGCTGGTCTCAAACTCACGGCAATCCTCCTGCCTCAATCTCCCAGTTACTGGGTTTAGGGTGTATAGTACCATACTTGACAACATTTTTGTTGTTGTTTATGTTGCTAGTTTTTGAAACAGGGTCTCATTATGTAGTTCAGGCTGGCCTTGAACCCACTAGGTGACCCAAATTGGCCTTGAACTCACAGAGATCCTCCTGCCTCAGCCTCCCAAGTGCTAGGATTACAGGTGTGTGCTATTACGCCCAGTGACAACATATTTCTTAAGACTTTCCGTGTATAGGATTTACTTTCACATGAGCATAAAAAATTTAATACATATTATAAAAGTGTAATTGTGGCCCTTTCAATGGGAAAACATCAAGATGGGATACAAGTGATTTCTGTTTCTATTGCTGGGAATGCAGTAGATTATAAGCGAAGGATGTGGTTGGAATCAATGTGCACATCTCCACGTGAGTAGGAGACTTTGGGCCAGAAATATTGTCTCCAGTCTGTCAAGCCAGCTCATGTTTTTGGAAAGCAGTTATAGGTGTGCCACTAGAGTTGGTATCATGGGAGCACCACCCTCCAAACTTTAAAATTCAGTAGAGTAGATGGCATTGAATGTTTGGAAAGTTGTATGATACTGCAGAAATTTAACAAATTAGAGCCAGCAGCCCAAGATGTCCATGGATCAGTTCATTGGATCATCTGAATTTTTAGGTCATACTTTTATTTTTTTTCGGAATCTAGACAATACCTTTAAGTCCCTCGGAAGCAAGTAAGTTGAGCCTCCTTTTTACTCAGACGCCAAACCACCTGAGTAAACTAAGTAGTCCATTTACTTGGCCTGTGTAATTACTGTTACTTCTGCTCAGGAAAGGAGTTTTAGCAATCTCCCTGTGACTGGCATTATGTGGGGTGATGTGATTCCTCCCACAAGAATGTAGCACATACTTTTCCCTCCTACAAATCATAATTACTTTGGGAGCTAAGCTTTGTACACACAAAGCAGCTAATGCAATGCTGAACATTTCTGAATGAATGGCTGGGAGATGGGGTGTGTTCTGTGACTCAGCCCTGAACCTTGAATCTGTTTTCTAGGGAGCAGCAGGCATCATTTTATTTCCTGAACACTGAGTAGTGTGAAAGTATTCTGTAAAAAAAGATTGGTTCTTATAGACACTCAAATGCCATTCAAAAGTACTATGACTTCTCTATATGTGGTTATTACACATGGAGGACTTTTTTAAAGATTAGCAAAACCTATTGAGCTGTGGGGGCTAATGAAGCTTACAAAACGGTGATCTCAGCATGCCTTCAAGATGTGAGTTATGTGGGCTATTTAACAAGGGTTTTTAAAAATCAGTTGTTAATGCTTAAGAAATTTAAATTTTACATAATACTCTAGATGTCTAAAATAATGTGATCTTTTTTATCAGTACTGGGGATCGAACTCACGACTGCCTGCTTACAAGGCAGGCGCTTATGCTGCTGAGCTAAATCCCCAGCCACATAATACTGTTTTTTTATCAATTGGCGAGTTATTTGCTTTCACTGATTGTGAAAATACTAATTTTCATTGCAGAGACTTTGAACAGTGCCAAAAAATGCATAAATTTGTTAGCTGCCTCTCATCCCAGTCTTTGCTACAAGCGTCCTTTTAAAAATAGGATTATACAAAATATAATTTGTTTTTTTCTAAATTATGTGTACAAGCTCTAGAGCTCTAATGAGTCTAATTCATTCATTAACTGAGGAGTATAAAACTGTGTTTGTTTCTAGGCATTTTCACATGAATTTGCCAGAAGGACTAGTGGAAATCTCAGTGACCAAATTCCCAAGGCTGAAGCTAAGCAAGGTTTGCTAAAATTTTTAAACTGACAAATAAATGATTTCTCATTGCTAAGTATTCATGACAGAAAAAGTTGAGAGTGATGATGATTTTGAAAAAAATTAAGTGATGAATAATGTACTAAATTATATTCCATATACCTGAGCATATTTATATGGCCTAGGGCAAAAGACCAAGTTGTATCATCAAACACTGGGTTTTTAAATAGTGGTGAGACCATAACTTCCAAAGGATAAAAATGTGTATTTTCCAAAATAGACAAACTGAGAGATAGTACCAAGTAAATGTCTCTGTGTCAAAATTGCTGTGGCTGTTGTTAAGTTTGTCCTGTTTAGATCTCCCTAAAGTTGTGTTTTTAAGATGGTGGGGGGCGGGGTGTCTTGCTGTGTTGCCAGGGCTGGCCTTGAACATTTGATCCTTCTGCATCATCCACCTCCTAGAGTTCTCGTAAGACAAGCGTGCACCACATTGCCCAGCGTTACTGAGTCTTCACAAATCTAAAAATGCACGTCTTTTATCAAATGGGGAGATTTATAAATCAAATGTTTATTTATTTATTTATTTTTTCTTGCCCTGTTCCTGATTCCTTTTGCTAGTCTGGTCATATGCCCAAGAATCCTTGCAAACTGTCTCTAAGGAGGTGTTTTTCTCTTTTCTTCTGATGAAAAATTTATAGTGGTTTATCTTCAAGGTCACTAAGTCTTCTCTCTGTCCATTATGCTACTCAACCCAAGCAGTGAAATTTTAAACTCAGATAGTGCATTTTAAAATTCTAAAATCTCCATTTGATTCTGTTTTGTGTGGATGTTAGTATTACATATTTTTAAAAAATTTTTATTTAAAAGGAAAAAGAAAAAACAAAACAAAACAAAGCGGTGTAAGGGTACAAGTAATACAGAACTACAAAACAAAACAGTAAGAAATCACCAGTTAATAGATTACACATTATCATCTTAGAGATAGTTGCTCAAGTCACAGTATCAAAGCATACAAAGTGGACATTCAAACAGTGAGACTGCAAACAGTTGTGTTCAATGATCTAACCAAAAACATTAATATGGTCATCTATTTAACACCCCAAACACACTTGCAGTTGTATCCTTTAGAGCACTTTTTTTCCCCTCTCTTTTTACAACATAATTTACACATTTTGGGTTTTATTACTCCTTAGTTCTTATTACTTTTTTTTTGGAAGAGAATAAAGTTAAATATGGCAAAACAAAGCTGTCAGGCAAAACCAAGGATAGACATAGCACATGATGTAAAAACAGAGTACAAGGTTATCAACAATGGTTACCATAATGCCTCTTGCTTCCTTAAAAAGAATTGTCTATCTCATTAGGTATTATGAAGTTGAACAAAACAGTAGAGAACAAGACCAATAAAACCTTACCCTTGTAAACATTACAAGACTTCCAGAGAAGATAATAGTCAAACCAGAATGGGCATCATAGTGAATCTTATTGCCTTCAAAGTAGTTGCCAATAACCCCAAACTTGATACTATCGTACAGAATGGAACAGAGTCTAACCAGTCAAAAAAAGATAGTGGGAGTATTACAGGACTTCAAATCAAGTTAATAGGAAATCAAATAAGTTACGATAATATATCCGGCTAATTTTTTAAATTTTTCCCCTTAATTAAAAAAATCATAAAAAATAACAATAATTTTTTAATGAATAAGGAAGAGATTGAGATAAAAGAGGACACAACAACATAACAATACAGGTCAAAGCATGACAGTTTCAGCAACCTAGTGCTTCACCACCAAGTAATCCGACTTAATAGTAGTTACCATAGTCTTTTTCCTTGAAATATTTGAATATAACTTCATGTATTATAGCTTCAAATATATCGAGTCAGTGTAAAACCATTCAAGTGGATGAAAGCATTGTAGGGTATTTAGAACCAGCTAACAGAAAACGAACAATGGTTTCTATATTACCTATTTGCCTATAACAATTTTTGTTTATACTATCACATATAATAAAATCCAGCAAGATAGATCATGATAAAACCAGTGGAGACAGAAGAGCCATAGTTTGGTGGGGCTTCAAAATAAGATGATAGTAAATCAGCACTAGCTATTATGATGACTTATTTTCTTCAAAATAGCTGTTCATTTCAACACAGGCAATAATATCAAGCAGCCCAGAATAAAGCCTTTCCAATTAATAAGTGAAAACTTTATAAGGCTTCAAGGCCACATAATGGGGACTCATGATGACCACATACTTTTATATATTTGAATCATTACTTACATTAGGGATACTATTCGGTATTCACACATGCAAGATTGATTTATTTCGCTTATGAGTATAGTCTCAAGCTGAACGCATTTATTGATAAATATCTCAATGTGACCCTTCTTTATAGCTGAGTAATACTCCATTGTATAGAAATGCCACAACTTTTTTTAATCCATTCCTCAATTGATGGACACTTGGGTTGTTTCCAAGATCTGGCAATTACAAATTGTGCTGCAATAAACATAGGTGCACATATATCTCTGTGGTATGATGCTTTCAGTTCTTCTGGGAATATGCCAAGAATTGGAATAGCTGGAACAAATGGGACTTCCAATTCCAGCTTTTTGAGAAATCTCCACACTGACCTCCACAATGGTTGCACTAGTCTACACTCCCACCAAAAGTGTAGGAGAGTTTCTTTTTCCCCACAGCCTCTCCAGCATTTGTTGTTGTTGGTTTTCTTGATGCTGGCCATTCTTTCAGGAGTGAGATGGAATCTCAGTGGGGTTTTAATTTGCATTTCTCTAATGACTAATGATGATGAACATTTTTTCATGTATTTACTTGCCATTTGTATTTCTTCATCTGAGAAGTGCGTATTCATCTCAGATGCCCATTTTTGGATTGGATCTTTGAATTTTGGGGGTCTGAGTTTTTTTAATTCCTTATATGTTTTAGACAAAAGTCCCTTGTCTGAGGGGGAGTTCACTACGATCTTTTCCCAGTTTGTGGGTTTTCTTTTCACTATGCTGGAGATTTCTTTTGACATGCAGAAACTTTTTAATAAGAGGTGGTCCCAGTTATTGATTCTGGGAAGTATTTCCCCTGTGGTTTGAGTCCTGTTCACGAATTCTCTACCTACCCCTATGTCTTCAAGGTTTCTACCCAATTTGTCTTCCAATAGATTTAGTGTTTCTGTTTTAATATTCAGATCTTTGATCCATTTAGATTTTAGTTTAGTACATGGTGATAGGCATAGGTCTAGCTTTAGTTTTTGGCAAATGGAGAGCCAGTTTTCCCAACACCATTTATTAAAGAGACTGTCGTTCTTCCAGTGAACCTGCTTGGCTCCTTTATCAAACATAAGGTGGTTGAGTGTGTTTGTAGTTGTGGTTGTATCTTCTAATATATTCCATTGATCTTCAGCTCTGTTATGATTCCAGTACCATGTTGATTTTACTACTGTTGCTTTGTAGTATAACTTCAAGTCAGGGATTGTAATGCCTCCTGCCTTGCCTTTGCTGCTTAGAGTTGCCTTTGCTATTCTAGGTCTCTTCTGATTCCAGATGAATTTTAGGAGTGATTTCTCTAGATTTATAAGGTATGTTGATGATATTTTTATTGGGATTGCATTGAATCTGTGTAACAGTTTTGGGAGAATGGCCATTTTTCACAATGTTTGTTCTTCCGATCCATGAGTAAGGGATGTCTTTCCATTTTCTGAGATCATCTTCAATTTCTTTTTTCAGTCTATTATAATTTTCCCTGTATAGGTCTTTCACTTCTTTTGTAACAGTAATTCGTAAATATTTCATTTTTTTAGTTGCTAGTGTGAAGAGTGTGTTTTCTCTTATTTCCCTCTCTGTGATTTTGTTGTTAGTGTATAGGAATGCTATTGATTTCTGAGCATTGATTTTGTATCCAGCCACATTACTGAATTTATTTATTATATCTAAGAGTCTTTCAATGGAGTTTAGGGGATCTTCTATGTAGAGTATCATGTCATCTGCAAACAATGATAATTTAACCTCTTCTTTTCCTATCTTTACCCCTTTTATTTCTCTCTCTTGTCTAATTGCTCTGGCTAGTACTTCCAGTTCTATATTGAATAGGAGTGGTGATAAAGGACATCCTTGTCTTGTGCCTGATTTTTAAAGTAAAGGCTTTCAATTTTTGGCCATTTAGTATGATGCTGGCTGTTGATTTGTCATAAATGGCCTTTATTATATTGAGGTAAAGACCTTCTATTCCAATTTTCTGTAAAGTTCTTATCATGAATGAATGTTGGACCTTATTGAAGGCTTTTTCTGCATCTATAGAAATGATCATGTGATTGTTACTTTTGGCTTTATTGATATGGTGGATTACATTTATTGATTTACCTATGTTGAACCATCCCTGCTTTCCTGGGATGAATCCCACTTGGTCATGGTGTATAATCTTCTCGATGATTTGCTGCATCCTATTATCAATATTTTATTGAGGATTTTTGCATCTGTGTTCATTAGGGAGATTGGTCTGTAGTTCTCTTTTTTAGTTGGGTCTTTCTCAGGTTTTGGTACTAGAGTAATATTTGCTTCCAGGAATGACTTAGGAAGGATTGCTTCCCTTTCAATTTGATTGAAGAGTTTGAGGAGTGTCGGCATTAGGTCTTTGTATTTCTTGTAGAATTCTGCAGTGAATCCATCTGGGCCTGGGCTCTTCTTTGTAGGTAGCGACTTAATTACATTTTCAATTTCATTAACAGAGATTGGGTTATTCATCAGTTTTACATCCTCTTGATCTAGCTTTGGTACTTCATATGTTTCTAGGAATCTGTCTATTTCTTCTGTGTTATCAAACCTTTGAGAGTAGAGGTTTTCAAAATAGGTGTTGATGATCTTCTGTATTTCTGTAAAGTCTGTAGTGATTTCACCTTTTTCATTTCTTATTGCATGAATTTGAGCTTTTTCTTCCCTTTTTAAATAAAGTTGGCTAGGGGCTTATCAATTTTATTTATTCTTTCAAAGAACCACCTTTTTGATTCATTCATTCTTT